CTTCATTCCTTTCTTCGGAGCTTCGATTCATCGGTACGTACGTCCATTGCAAGAATACCTCACGAAGAACACAGATGACACGAGTCCGGAATAGAAGAACCTCCATGTAGATTCACTACCAGATCTACATGAGGATCTAATCGGAACTTTGGAATTCTCGTGAACGCGCTTGGTAATCTTTGAATAATTCTAATCTTATAATTTCAATCTTCATACACACTTAAACATACTAAGAGTACAAGCAATCTTGTGCACAGTAATTATTAAGTGATTTTTGTGTATCAAAATTAATCAACCCTTAAGAAAAAACAACCAAAAATACCACATCGACCATGGTGAAACCAAACAAGAACACCAACTCCTCTACCAAACAATATCGACAAAACACATATAGATCCTGTCTTAGTCTAACAAACAATTTCGATGAGAGCCAGTTGAAGACAGTCTCCCTCACTGTGAACCTTCAACGCCCAGCAAGGAAGCTAACTAGAAACTGCTTAAGCTTCTCCGGTGAACATGGAGTGCAGGAGTTATTCCATGTACAGGAAGACTTTGAAGATGCAATAAAGGATCTGGAACTACCGGCCGACGAGATAGATAAGAAGTGGCAAATGGTCCTGGCACACAGACCCAGGCAGAAATGGAACAGCATGTAGCACAACAACAGACTAGTAGATGTACCGAGGACTAATTTGCAACAGTGAAAGACAGCCCTCCTCACCTTCAGGAAGTTCTATGCACCATCGAAGAGAGCCCGCGATGAAGCTATTGAATACTTGGAATCAGAAGCCATCAGAAAGTCCCACTCCAGTTCCTTCCAGGCCCATGCAGATAGAGTTGAAACCTGTTGTGCCAGAGCCAACATCCTACATGGCATTCGGGAACCCTTGTCTGACAGAGAGGTCAAACAGATTCTCTTTAGATCCTATCCCAAACCATGGCAGAATGACTACATAAGATGTGGAAGAGATATCCTCAATGACACCATCAAGCAAATAGTACAGTACATGACAGAACAGAAAGGAATAGCAGATGAGGAACAGCAACAGCAACGGTCAAGAAAAAGACCAGTAGATAATGCAAATACTAATGAAGGACAAGGAGGAAGGAATGGGAAGCAAAGGAAACGCGGCAACAACGACAATAGGAACAACAGACAGAATGAGACCCTGGAAGAAAGACAGAATAGACTCAATGCAACACCCTGCAAGAAGCACAATGGACAACACCTTTGGGGTGAATGTCCATTCAATCAGAAAGGAAATAATTACCAGGGTAATAACCGGAGCAATAATAACAAAAGTTACAGAGGAAATCAAAGCAGTCAGGGAAATTCAAATGCGAGCAGCACCAGAAAATTTGTGCCAGGAAACTATTCATGTACTATGGATGAGCATGGAAATATGAGCAACTTTCAACCACAGTCG